AGAGCAGGAGGCACTCACTTAGTATACACCTCTTCCTGGTGAAGAGTGAGCATGGCAGAGCTTTCTGGACCAGGCACCTGCTATACAACCCAAGGAGGGAGGGCAGGAGTCCCATGTGGCACCTTGATACCTATTAGAAGAAACTCTACTGCATGGAATCAAACAGTGACAGGAGGTGAATCTAGGGAGATGAACTATGGCTGCTGTTTGCACCAACCTGAATCTCCACCCTCCTGTACAATTGAAAGTATTTCCAGATAAAAAGTTAAAAATAAAACAAGCTGTAGTCTTCAAGACCCTTCTGTCCAAATCCAAGTAAGTCATATACAACCTTACACAATTTGTCCATCCCCAGTTAAGATCATCGGATTAGAGGGAGATAGATATAGGGTCCAAGTCCTAACTCCTTTGCTACCTTGTCACATTAACTGGACCCCTCACTCTCTTGATCTGTGAAACAGTGACAGTAGTCTTCCTCATAGGGACTGTGTGCAAGATTCTCTGTTGCTTCTAGAATGCATATATGCATACATGGGAAATTGTTTTGCTGAGTGTAAATGCCATGCAACTGTTGGTGGTTCCCCATGTTGAGCTCACATTCAGTGTGTTCTGCCTGGTGTAACTTTCAGCTGCTCACAAGCTCTCTCCTGCTTTCTTACAGCCAGAAAGAATTTCAGGAGAGCAGTATGGAATCCACTCTGATGTGTGGAGCTTAGGAATCTCATTCATGGAGGTATGTTTGTTTTGCTGTTTGTCATCATTGATATATCTGTACTAATACATCCCATTGGGAAGAGTGAAGACTTTGAAAGAATAACACAAACCCACCCAGTGTGTTCTGCACACATGCATAATCTGACTCTGAAGTCTTTATGTTGATTTCCCATGTGACTTTTGACTGAGTCTACATTATTCCACAGCACTGCTTCTCACATATCACCTGTGGAAGACATACCTGAAGTGCTTGTTAAAAGCACAGATTTGCCAGTTCCCCCACCCCCACCCAAGACCAGTTCAGCCCAAGGCTCTGAGAATGTGTGTGAGGGAACTGTTCCCTGGGTGAGAGCCCTGCTTAGTTTGGAGCCCCGTTCTCTGAAAGGGGATTCCATAACATCACAGGGTGATGGCAGCCTTGGAATGTGCATGTGTGACATCCAAAGGGGAGGGTTTTAAGAGATTAGCTGTAGCCATGTGGATACATATGTTGTACATATGGCATATATCATTTTCTTCCTTTAAAAAAAAACTGCTGCATCCTACTAAACAGCATGTGCATGTGGGGTGGAGGTGGTGTGATGGGGATGTATGTAGTATAATTTCATGTCTTTACTCTTCGTTGCTGTATTTAGAATGGATTTTTTCCTCAGTGAGCCAGGTGCAGCCCCATTAGAACTCATGCAAGGAAATAGCCATACAACTCGCATTAGAGAGACACCTGGCTTACTGGAATTGCAGTCCTAGACAACCTGGGCACTCACTGGGGCTTTCAGAACAGCTTTTCAATTCTGTCCATTCCCATCAAGGAAGCCTTTTTTTAAAAAAATAGAAACATGTTTAAATAACACCACAGATCGAGTTTCCATCACAACCCCATTGCTTTTGTTTGGTCAAATACATTTTCTATGATCTTTGTAACGCTTGAATACCATTGTATTTGGAAGGAAATATCTTCAGACCCAGCTCACCTGCACAGCAGGAAGAATGCCAAAGTCAAATGCTCAATGTTTATTAAACCATATTCTTCTGCCTTTCCCGAAAGGTAATCTAAGAGGAGCTGTAGTGTGTGCACAGCAGCCCAGAGGCTGAAGTTAGCGGGTAGACCTCAGGGCCCAGCCCTCAGCAGGATCCCGAGGCTTGTTCTAGTATTAGCCTGTTTCAAGGGAAACTAATTGTGACCTGTGGGAGACCCAGGTTATAGTACTTGCTTTGGTACTAGTTTCCTAGGTGGCCCGGGGCCAGCCTGCAGTCCCCACCAGGTCATTTCCTTCCCTGTGCAATAGTGAGATCTGAGCTCCAGTGTAGACTAACATTCTGCTGCTCTGCTGCTGTTATCTTTCCTGTAGTTCAGCAGCAGCAGCAGCAGAACTGTGTGCTGGGGGTAGAGGTGCACCCTCACCTGTTGGAAGCATAGAAGCATCGTTAAGAGGGTTGGGAATGTTGCTCAGTTGAGAGAGTAATTGCATAGCATACATGAAGCCCTGGTTTACTTGCTAGTGTGGCATATGACTGGGATGTGATTCCAGCATTCAGGGATGGAGGCAAGAGGATCAGAAGTTCAAGATCGTCCTTATCAGATGCATAGTGGGTTGGAAGCCAGATTGGGCTATATGATACCATTCTTTTTTTTTTTTTAAGTGCCATTAAAAATGTATATCTGGCCAGGCGGCGGTGGCGCACGCCTTTAATCCCAGCACTCGGGAGGCAGAGGCAGGCGGATCTCTGTGAGTTCGAGGCTGGGCTGGACCTCCGAAACAATACAGAGAAACCCTGTCTCGTAAAAACCAAAAAAAAAAAAAAAAAGTATATCTGGCTGTGGGTGGTGGCAGCACACACCTTTGATCCCAGCACTTGGGAGTCAGAGGCAGGCGCATCTCTACGAGTTCAAGGACATCCAGGGTGACACAGAGAAACCCTGTCTTGAAAACAAATAAAAACAAAAAAGGAAAAAGAAAGAAAGCATATCCAGGCTAGTCTAAAGGAAGTAGTGAATGATATCAATTGGTTGTTCCTCCTTCTCACTACTGTACTTGACTAGTCTCATAAAGAGAAAAAGAGCCCCGCCTGACTAGAGTGGAGTTATCAATGTAAAGGCTGGGGGAAAGCAAATAAGAAAGGTGACTGGGGACTAGGTCACATACCGCCAGGTTCAGGGCTTCAGATGTTGCCCTGAGTGAGTGATCTGACTTCAGCTTTTAGTGGATCACATAGTGCTCTGTGAAGTGTGACTATAGAAGGTCAGGAGTGGAAACAGGATCAGAAAGATTGGAATATGCCCAATAAAGGTAATATATTGAAGTATGTATCCTCAGTATCTTGCTAGGCACTGGGAATATGAAGCCTAATGAAAAGAGGCACTGCATTGCAGTTAGGGAGATTGCCAGTGTGTGCATGTGTCCTGGAGGCAAACTGGTCTCCGGAACACTGAAGAAAACAGACTGTTTGCCTTTACAAAGGGTGCAGGGAACTGTGAGAAAAGTCAACTTTGAGTGTGGGTGATTGGGTGCCAGGAGTACGGTGAAGTGTAGCGCAGGAGAACCCCATAGTTGGGTGAGGGTGAGAGATAGCTGAGCTCCTCGATGCTCTGTGTTCATCAGTGGGTGAGAAGGGATGGGTTGTGAGGTAGGTGGGAAGGTGAAGTATGCCTTGAGTGGCCGAGAGGGGCAGGGTGCTTACCTAAGGGTCATCTAAAAGGATATGGGGTGGCTGTCCCTGTCTCTTAGAGGGCAAGCAAGTGACAAATGACCAGCTTAAGTAGTGGAGCAAAAGTCATTAGAGACTAGAGGGCAGCCTTTGGCACAGGTTTCACACCGAATGTATCTGGGGTCTAAGGTGAAGAAACGCAGAAGGGAGAAGATTTGGATCCTGTAGCTGAAGTGTTGTGGCGTTCAGGACACCTTCGTTCTTGGGGTGGGAAATGACAGCCAAAGGGCCTGAGAACGTAGGTCACAATGAGAACTGCAAGACTGGGCTCCTCTTTCTTTTTACCAGTGTATAGTTGGTCTAAATGTGATACATACTATTCAAAACCACTGCAGACAAATGCCTGTAATCCCAGCATTCAAGACTGAGGCAGGAGGATCATGAGTTCTAGGATAGACGAGCTACATAAAAAAGAAAAAGAAAAGAAAAAAACAGGGTGGGAGAGATAGCTGAATCAGTGAAGCACTTTCCACACAGGCACAAGGACCTGCGTTCAGTTCCCAACTTGACTCACACAGAAATGCAGGCTGGTGGAGCCTGCTGGTCAGCCCAGCACTAAGAACACAGAGAGAACTAACCGGGGTGACCAGCCAGCCAGCCTGGCCAAATCATGGATCTCAAGCTCCCAGTGAAGAACCATGTGTTAAAAACCCCTTAAACTTTAAGACTTAAAGGGTGTTACCTGAGGGTGACCTCTGCCTTCACACATACACAAACGTGCGAGACACACACACATACACACACACACACACACACACACACACACACACACACACCTGACAGAAGTGTGTGTTGCAATGGCATTTTAAAATCTGAGGAATAAATTGCATCCTAACTGCAATCAGCACGTTCAAAGAGCTTTGCCTCTGGTCTCACTTGTAAAATGACTCTGTGTGTCCTCCCCAAAATAGAAGCTTCATTCATTCATCTTTTTTTCACCCATATAAATGCCAAAGCACCAACCACATAACCAGAAAGACGCTAGAACCCTGAAGGCCTCAGCAAAGGTGTGGCTGAGGGCAGGGGATTGACAGGGGGATTGATCTGAAGGTTGCCTGCCACCAGGAGCAGGAGGGACCAAATGGAGATCCCTTCCCCACCCATTCAGCCCTCTCCAAAGTGGACTACTGTAAACCCTTAAGGGGGGATTAGTTGACAGGTAGGAAGGTGAAGTCTCAACAGTCTCCTGGCACGAGCACACACCTTTCTCAGGGTGTTTTGAGCCAACCGGTTCATTCTCATAGAGAACCTGTGATGAAGAGTAAAAGGTAGACAGCTGAATAGGAAACCAAGCAAGGGCGTTTCCCAGAATCACCCGGGAATTGAATAGAGACAAATGGGCGTTTCCTGTGTCTGCTGAGGTCCCTAGGACCCTGCCTCCTGTTCTGTAAACCTTCCACTCCAAGGTTCATCCTTGGCAGCTCCTTCCTGCTGCCCCTTCCCTCCCTGTTAATGTGCTGTCATGGTCCCATGGGGAGTCATAACAAGACCTCTCGCCACACTCTTTCATAAGAGATAATGCTACATGCCACTGAAGTGTACAGATAAAAAGAATCACAGACAGCTACATTTGTGCCTTAAGCAAAGAACCTTTAATATCAGACTATTTTTTATCTGTCCCGTCTTCTCTCAGGTCAGCAGCCTCTGCTCCTGGGATAAAGTGGGTCTCCTCCAGATGTTGTCATCTGTATGAAATATTTGGAGTTGGCAAAGTAGCACAAAGATTGAGATAAGACTGTTCAACCTGAGTTGAGGACAGTGACTTCTTGGGTCGGGGGCGGGATTCCACCCTTCTCTGCTATATGTTTACTGTTTTTCACCCAGATCTTATATCTTGGTGGCTCCCCTTATGTGGATTGGTTATGAAGCCAAATAAAGGAGGTCTCAGCGTGGGTTTGTGTGGGCTCACTTTGCAGTGGGGAAGAAAATCCACACGGACTTGAGTTCTTCCGTTAGAAGGCACCAAGAGTGGATATGGAGAGTAAAGGAATGGACAGAGAGATGAGACCAGCAAGTACGCAGAATCCCAAGCTGTGAAGAGCTGGAAGCTTCCTCCCACCTCAGGAGACTTGTTTGCCATGTTTAAAAAGCTCACACTGGCTCCATTTTATGACTGGATAGTTTTTAGACTTGTTCACCTGGTACTGCTATCAGTACTTCAGGGCTAAACTTGAGGGTGAAAATGGCATGGCCTGCTAAAACAAGAGCTTCATTTTCACCTAGTCTGAAGGGTTTGGCCTAATCTTTAGGGTGGGGATTCCAAACATACTGGGGCAGCTTCTTGACTTCCTAAGCAATGCAGTACTTACCTAGTCTTGCAGAGAGGGGCCGAGGAGAGCCTAGCCCTTGGTTTTTCACTAATTATTGTTCATGTTACACCATTTGAGTCACAACATAAACCTCTAAACAGGAAGTAAACAACCACGTGTTCAAAAGATGGCCTCTCCAGAGGGGAAAGTCAGTGCACTCCCTCCAGTAACCTGTGGGCCCAGCATAAAGTATGGCTGTTAAAAGGAACCAGGAGCCTGGCATGGTGGAGCTCAGCTGTAACCCCAGTACTCCAGAGGTGGAGGCAGGAGGATCTTGAGTCTGAGGCTACATGTATACACAGCAGGACCTCATCTCTAAAAAACAAACAAGGGGCTTCTGGGATGGCCCAGTGGGTAAGGTGCTTGCTCTGCAAACCTGATGGCCTGAGTTTGTTCCTTGGAACCTATTTAAAGGTGCAATGATCACAAAGTGGTCCTCTGACCTCTGATACACTCAGTGTGGCCCACATGTGCTCCCTTACATACTTCACACATATGTACACACAGCACACAGACACACACGCTGGGGAGTAGGAGCTAAAGGCTGAGCATGGTAGAATACACCTTTAATCCCAGCACTGACGAGGCAGAAGCAGACAGATCTTGTCTACTCTTTGTGTTGGGCGACAGATCAGCCAGGGCATGTAGTGTAAACCTGTCTCAATAAATAAATAAGCCATTTAAAATGCAGTAAACAAAACAAACAAAACCTTCCCTTGGAAAGGCACCAGGCCCACGGGTCTCTGCTGAGGGACTGTCAGGAGGGCTCTCACAAACCTCAGTGGGGTTGGCGTCCTGATAGATGTCTCTGCAGGAGCCAGACTGCAGGTCCTCTCCAGCACACACTTGCTCTTTTCACTTTGTCCCCCGCTCTTTCTGCCTTTGTTTGCAGCTTCCCTCCTAGTCTCCTGAGTCTGAGGCGCAGAGCAGGCTGGCTCGACATGCTTGGTTAATTGGTGTGTCATCCAGTCCTGCGAGGCCCCTCTTCAGCACCGGCACTGCTTTATTGAAGTGCTTTGACTGATGTGTTAAATGATGAAAGCAAGGACCACGGCTTAGAAACATGTCTCCAGATAGGTGGAGAGCATACTCAGAGAGCCACACAAGGTCATTGTCATCAAAGTAACACCACTGTCTAAGGATTTCTATGGGCTCCATTGTTTTGACAAGAGTTTTTCTTAAGGCCTTTTTTTGTATGCTAGAGATGGCATTCCATAGAGTACATGTTCTACCACTGAGCTGTGCCCCCAGCCCTTTCTCAAAGTTTAGCATTACCTTTACCAAAACAAATCTGTGTACTATGATATTCTCTTGTCATATGGATGCTATTTTCCTTCATCTGCCCAAGTTATAATTCGAATATGCATCCTTCATGATGCTGACTCTGGTCTCGGCAGCTGAGAGGAACACCTTGTTCTTCTAACTGTCATCTCCATCTGGCTGAACACGTAAACATTTCCTGCCTCATAGTTGAGTCATTTATACAAATGCAGTCTGCTTCTCTTACAACCTACATTATCCAGTGCCATCCCAGTGCCCTCGCAGGTACTCAAGAGTCTTTTGGGCTCAGCATTTCCAACCTTTATAATAGTTTTAAAGTAGCTCTGAGAAACAAAGGCTGGAGTTTAAGTTTGATAAGTGCCCATTCATTTTGTACAGTATCACTTGCCATCATGTATGAAGAAGTGACTTCTCTTTGTCAAAGCCGCAGACCCAGATTCAAATTCCATCCCAGCCACAGCAGCCTAAGCCAACCTTGACTGCAGTACAGTCTCTCCGGACCTGTTTCCCTCATCTACTCCAGAGTGTAGGGACAGGTCATAGTGAGGAAATGGAGGCATTATCTATCCTCTCCTCAACAGGAAGCAGCTTCTAAAATGTTCACATCTAGGAAAAAAATAAGCCAAGTTGACAAAAGATAAGTAGATTGTGGGTGTTAGTTTCCATTCACCTCATGCTCAACTTGAGGCATGGTGCCATGAAGACGCAACAAAAGGGATACAGTGTCAGCACAAAAACCACAGCTCTCATCTTAAAGGGAGTAAACAATAGTGGATTCTGGAACATTGGTCGGAGAACACAGATTTAGGTTATCCCGAATTCCGTGTTCCAATGTGGTCGCAGTTTCGGGATGTTTTCTAGTTTTATAGAACAAAGAAAGTCATAAATCAAGGCAAGTTTAACTTACCTCAGTGGTACATCAGAGAAGCAGTTACAGAGGGATGGGGGAAGCTTTCTTATAGACCCGACATCCTTAGCTTTGGGGTTGGTGGAAGCTAGTGGTCTGCTAAGTTAATCGATTCTAAAAGCTTCCTATCTGTTAGTCACAAGATGACCATTCAGACTCCTAGGTGGACAGAGAATGGCTGTTGGAGAGGGCTAGAACTACCCAAGACAAGGCAGTTAGCCTCTGGGCCTGCAGCCTTCCAATCACTCCACAGTGCTGCATTAGTCTCTGTAGACACAGCATCACAGCCACCATCAGATTTAGGATGTGATGAAACAGATGAAACAGTGATCTGGTGACAAACAGCCCATATGGGAGTGTGAAGGCCTCCATCAGCATCAGGACAAGCAAGGCCTTGCTAGAGTAGAACACCCCAAAGCTCCACATCCTGTGGTTCCCAATACCTGGAGCTAGGAGTAAAGCTAAGAGCTAGCCAAGTGTTTCTCCCTCTGTTTTGTGGGGTTAAACCAAGGCCTTGCATTAGGCAAGTGCATAGCCCCCAGCCGTCAGAGTCTTTTTGAGAGGCAATAACGCTGTTAACCACAGACCATCTCCCCAACTCAGCGTATGAGGCACACCAATGACCCTCCTCAGGCCCAACATTAGACCAAGTAGAGGCTCTAGAAAAAAGATGGCATCTGAGACGATAAAAACCTGGTCCTGAATGCTGCATAGTCCTGCATTGTTCCTAGGTTACTAGTGGCCAAGACCACAGGCAGCAGATTGGCAGGGACTTTCTCCAGGGAACTCTGGCCCAGAAGTCTAATGGATCCAGAGGTTGGGTGCTTCCTAAGAGCGCCCAACCAGATGACCTCACAGGAAGCTCTCAGCCAGTCCACATTCTCCACACAGGAAAATGTACACTCTGTAGTCCAAGATGACCTGGTACTCGCTATGTAGACCAGACTGGCCTTGAACTTGTGGCTAGCCTCCTGCTTCTGCATCTTGAGTTGCTAGGATTACATTTGTGGCTTACACTTAATGAGATCTGTGAGAAAGACTTTTAGAATGAGAACAGAGGCCTAAAATAACTGAGAACAAGCAATGTGAGGACCTAAAACATATGCAGTGGAAAAACATGAATAAACAACCAAGCATGCCTTCAGGAATGAGAGAAAATACTACGCTCCAGAGACAACAGGCTGTTGTAGCAAGAGAACCTCCAGAGAAAAGCAAAACAGGCAGGGAGGAAGGAAAATGGGAAAGCCAGGTGAGCAAGCGTGATGTGAGAGATAAACAGGAACTCTGTATCAGAGAACGCGTTTGAACTAAGACGTAAGAGAGCCATGTTTGAGCGCACCTTCCTCCTGGATGTTCTAGGAGAAAACAAAACACTAATCTCTTTCCTAAGTGGCATGTGGCAATATTTTCAACCTCATAATGTGACTTTTTATAATGTATATAAATTTTTTTTTGCACTCAGGAGGCTATGAGTCCAATGTCAGCCTGGTCTGCATAGTAAGTTCCAGGACAGCCAGAGCTACAAAAAGAAAAGAAAAAAGTAGAGAGAGACAGAGACAGAGGGAGAACTGTCAGACCCATTACTGGGTGCCAGGAATACAACCCCTTTCCATGTTGTACCTACAAGCTAACAAGTAAACAGATTCTTGAAAGCAAGATGAGAACATAATAGTCTGGACTGTTTTATTAATATTTAACATTAACAACCCCCATAAAAATCACTTTAAGAAGTACACCACAGCTGGGTGTGGTAGTGCACACCTTTAGTCCCAGCACTCACAAGGCAGAGGCAAGGTGAATCTCTGTGAGTTTGAGGCCAGCCTGGTCTACAGACTGAGTTCCAGGACAACCAGGACTACACAGAGAAACCCTGTCTCAAAAACCCAAAAAAGATTTTACAAAGTAAGCTGCTCTACCAGGTAAGATGGCACACACGAACTATTCCAGCATACCGAATCAGGAGGCAGGGCCTCACCCGATTGGACTGCCTCAAGGTCCTGCCTTCAGGAGAGGAAAAGGAAGAGGAGATGGGAAGGGGAAGATAAGCTCTTTGGACTAGCATCCTGTGTGTGCCTTGTTCTTGGCAGGTAAGGACAACTACAGGGCTAGACTTATCTAGTCTAGAGTTTTCTAGACGTAAGTCTTCCACCTCCTGCCAAACAAACCCATACAGGGACAGCTGCCCCAGGTGGGCATAAACTGTGGCTTGTCTCCTGGCTTATCCCATGTGGTTTGTAAACCTGGTCGGAAGAGCAGCAAACAGTTCTGGAGCCCTGTGGCAGCTCCTGTCCATTTTTCTAGATCATAGAAAAACTTGGCCTTCGGTATGATTTGCTCAGCTACAGATGTTTCTCCTTTTTAATTTTATTATTATTTTGTTTTTTTGAGACAGGGTCTTACTATGTAGCCCTGGCTAGCCTGGGAGTTGCTGCGTAAGCCATGCTTTCAATCCTCCTGCCTCTGTGTTCCCCTATAACCGTTCACCCTACACACACCAGTGCTGGGATAACAGGTCGGTGCTACTGTGTCTTGCTTGCTTTCTCCTTCTTAAAAATGTAAGCAAAAGTTGAACTTTCTTTTACAGTGAGCTTGGTTTGCCCTTGCAGCTGTGGGATGGCATCCCCATTTATGAGTACACACATCTCAGAACATTTCCAGGAAGCTGGCATGGGCAAGTTGGAAGGGTGTGGCCCCAGAGCCCTCTTCTGGGCCTTCTGCCTTTCCATTGGATCTTATGGCTGAAAAGAGCATTTAACTATTCTGCCACCCATACCCCACTCTTACTCATCTTTCTGAATTATGTCTTAACTTGATATTTTCAGATTTTGTGACTTTTTGATCTGATGTTTTGTGTAAATTGCTGGGGGGAGGGCGAAAGCTGTTGAAGTGACTTTAGCAGATGATGGATCGGCTGGTCCAGTTTTTTGCAAGGTTTGTGAAGGGATCCAGCTGTCTCAGCTTGCCATGCCTAAATGTGCATTTTCAAGGTCATCAGTGACTGCATGAATATGGAACTGGCAGACAGAGCTAGTGGCTCCCCTGGATACAGCACTGTTGAGCTGGCTTTGTGCTCAGCACATTCAGCACTCACAGGCTAACAAAGCAGGGCAGGTCAGGTACATGAAATCCCAGATAAACATTTTATCATCTTGAAGTCTTTCAGACTGAAAGATTTCTTTTTCCAGCAGTACACACCCACATCACCTCAGGTATAGACACAGACACACAAAATTTGGAGTCTTAAAAAACACAGACTCAACAGTCTTGATACAAACAATAAAGAAAAGGACACTCCTGACATCTGACAGCTCATTGCAAGGATCTTTGGTGGAGAAGAAGTGTTGATATATGTCCATTGAGGCAAACCTTCCCAAGCTAAAAGCAAACCAAAGCAATCGAAAAAGTTCCACAGTATTCTTTTCAATATACTTTGTTTTGTTTGTCATTTTTGGTTTTGGTTTAGTTTGGTTTGATTTTTCAAGACAAGGTTTTCCCTGGAACTCACTTTGAAGACCAGGCTGAACTCATACTCAGAGATCCACCTGTCTGTGCCTCTTGAGTGCTGGAATCAAAGGTTTATGCCACCCATGACCAGCTCAATATACTTTTCTAATAGATGAATCCCAGTAATCTTTCCACTAGATGATGGAATCGTCCCTAAGGACATTTAAGTAGGAGTTGAATAGCCACTTGTCCCTGAAGAAAGACTTCATAGAACAGTATGAACATTGGTCAAATGCAGTCCTTTTGTTGTATTTTATCGCCCAGCTACCATGTGGCGGGCCCTGCTTCCATGGAGCCCACAGTCTAAAGAAGGGTGTCTGGCAATTGTAATTTCTCAGGCAGGCATCCTGGGGTGATATGAGGAGCTAGTAGCATGTGATTACTTCCTGAGTAGAGATCTGAAAGGATCTGAGGAAAGCAGTCTCCTGTGACTCGTGTCCCCCAACACTGACAGTTCAGGGAACTGCAGCAGTTCAACTTAGAGATACCCTGTGGCAAGACCCACTGCTCCTAGAATCCTCCCTCTCCTCAAGCCAGTGACCTAGGGATAACATTAACATCCTGTTCTCAGTCCTTAGACCACCTTCCATACTTCGACATGTATGCCATATCTATCTGAAAATTATTTCAAAGCCCTTACTTTTTACTTAGAAACTAGAGTTCTGTTGATTTTTAACTAAGTCAAGACTATAGAACTCGATGGTTTGTGTCCCTTAGCATTGAGGAAGCCACTCCAAAGGTGGCATGTGCCCATGCCAGCACCACACACAGCTTATACCATGCACCCCGTGGGACTGTGGGGCTTTCAGGTATGAAGACTAGTGCTCTAAACTCTAGAGCTGTTGACATCCTCTGCTCTAGAGCTATTGACATCCCTCTGCTCAGTGGTTTAAGCGTCAATCTAATTAATCTTATCAATAAAAACCAGGAGTCAGCTGGGTGGTGGTGGCCCATGCCTTTAATCCCAGCATTTGGGAGGCAGAGGCAGGCAGATCCCAGCCTGGAAAACAAACAACAACAAAAACCCAAGAGTCAGATTTCAGGGTAAAAACCTTAACGATTAGAAAAGCAGAGGAGCAGCCCCTTCCTGCCTCTTCCATTCCTCCATCCAAAAGGGCTTCTCTCTGCCCCACCTCATCACTTCTGTCTCCTCTCGGTACAGACCTCCAGAACTCTATGGTTAACTAGAGTCTAGCTCCGCCCTCTGACCAAGCAAGCTTGATTTATTAGAACACAGACAAGATATCACACAACAAAGGGTGACGGCATAGCTCTTTACTTATACAGATAATGTAACTAAGCATTTAATCCTTGTCATTTGATACTTAAGCTTCTGCCTGG